GAAATCCGTTGGAAAATTCCAACGGATGCCGGTTGGAAATCCGTTGGAAATTTCCAACGGAAAAATTCGTTGCAATTCCGTTGAAAATTCCAACGGTTTTCCAACGGACACCGATTTCTAACGACGAAATTCCAACGGATAAATCCGTTGGAAATCCGTTGGAAACGTTAATTTCCAACGGAAATTTGGCCATTTCCAACGGATTTACCCGTTGGAAATGACCATTTTTTTTTTGTAGTGGTTGTGAGTTCTTTAGACATGACTTTTAGTCTCTTTCGATTGGAAAACTCCAATCGTCGATCCACGTATTTACGTCACTTATTTTTATTCTCTTCTCTTATCCCGCTGTTAGACTATCACGAATTATGCGTCGCGCTTTTGCATCCCTTTTTTTTCTCCGGTCTAGCCGCTATATACACCGCAGTTTTTTGTGCTGCTGACTTCATTGTCGTGCAACCCAATTCACGCATACACGTCGCACTTTCATGCCATATTAGCCTCTGCGAATACAATTCTTAAGCTCTTCAAACGTTATCAAGCAATACCGATTCAAGTCTGAACTACACTACAACATAGAAGATGATTCGTTTAATACGATCACAATTTCAGTTTTTATGTAACAAGATTGAATTCATCATAGATGATTCATCTTGAGGGGTATATATGAAGATATTATTATTAGAATATTATCATTGATATGATTATAATTTACCCTAGATATTATGACTAGAATATTCTATTGTATTTTGCTATATATTATGATGTATTCTTCCCATTATCAATAATAGAAAAACATTTTCCCTGTTAGTGGTGACTATGACAATTATCAAGGCCGGTTAGAAGTTGTCTCATGTAACATTTAACCTAAACAGAAGGAAACGAAAGGTGGGTTTGAAGGTAAAATGCGATTGCTGTTGGAGAAGTAGACAACAAAAAAAAAACAAGACAGAAGACCTGAGGCTCTGAAAACTCGGCGCCGTGTAATGATGAAAATCATGCGAGGTCATGATCCTCTCCGGGAGCTCCACTGTGATTCCCTGAGAACAAGACCAGAAACAACAAGAAACCACAGCAAAACAAGAACACCAGAGAAACCGAGACCGAGAAAACCGAAATGAACAGATGCAGCAAGACTCAAAAAGATTTGACGCCACAGAACCTTGTTCGTCACAGATCCAGCCCTCGATCGTCACCAATGGGGCTCTGATATCACTTGTCAATGCGCACGGCTCTCCCGTTCTCTCCGATTCAAGTCCGACTTAGTCCGATTTTGTCCAGCACAGAAACAAGAAAACGGAAAGAGACAGAGATTTTTACGAGTTCGGTTCAACAGAGCCTACGTTTCGGCCGGGCGGCACCGGAAAATTCACTAGGACCGTAGTGTCGACAAGATCCGACGACCTCGACAACCCCGAGCCCGCCGGAGACAAAATCGAAAGAAGGAAAACCGAAAAAGAACAACAAAGACAAGAAGAGAGAAAGGATACGACCTGGAAACTCCGCCGAAGTACAGCCCGACCGCCGACTTCGCCGCCTCTGATGACCTCCGTCGCCATTGTTCTCTCTCTCTCTATCTCTCGTCTTCTTCCCTACCCTGCAGGAAAGAAAGGCCGGTGCACGTCCTAGAAGAGAAATGGGCAGATGAATAGAGGTTATATTTTAAATTTAAATCAACGAATTCAAACCCTCTAGGAGAAAAAGAAGGTTATATTTCCTTCACAATTCTCCCAACGTTCGGAAATGTTAAATTTTCACAATATCCGATTTTGAAAATCGAGATATCCAAAATCACTGCCAAATTCATAAATATTTTGCACGTGTGATCTAAAAACTCAATCCAAATTGCTAATATATCATAATTTTTGGATACGGCCCATAATTTTGCCATCATACAAAACTCGCGTGTCGGAGTTAAAGGCCTTTGGGCCTGAATTGTAAGTATACCGAAGAAAAAACAAAAAAATTGAAAAAAAAAATGAGGAAAAAAGGAAAAATCTAAAAGATAAAAAAAAAAAAGACGGATAGAAATTGCCGAACCTTGGAATAGCTTGGTAGTTGCTCTCAAATAATAAGAGGTTTTTTCGTAGTAATTCAATCAATTCTTAAAAGATATATTATATTATCTTTACTGATAATAATTAAAAATATCGTCCGTATTTTATTATTTAAATTTTCCGAATAGCACGAGAATTTAAATGATTAGATAAAAAAAATATATGTTAAATGCACCTATAATGGGGTCCCACTATCAGAAAGAGAATTTCGGAAAAACTGATTAATGGATGGTATTCAAATAAAAATAAAAATCCTATTTATTTGAACACGATTATCATACCCTATTTATTTCAAAAAGCATCATAAGGATATACAAATTTTATTGTGCTTAAGCGATATGTATTTTAGTATTCGTCGATCTGCTAACAAACACGTGATGTTATAGAATTGAAAAAATTATGCATATTTAGCAATAAAAAAATCGTAATGTTAATAGATGCTGACGGTGTGAATATATATATATGTGTGTGTGTGTGTGTGTGTGGTCTACACTAAACCTAAAACAAAAATTTAATCAACAAAATTTGAAAACATTAAAACAAGATATTTGAAGAATTAATTATCACGTTGTTTTGGTTGGTTTAAGAAAAAACAATTCAAAGGTCAAAAAATGCACGCTGGCCTTCTAAAACTCGATGGTTCCTAGTTTATCTATAAATGGGACGGATGGATACGTGGATGCGGATGCGGATGTGGATGCAGAAAGGAGAGAATGGAGAAGGAAAATAGAGTGGCGGCAGCATTGCCCCAACCAAACCCCATGTGCGGCGGTGACGGACCACATAGTTATGTTCGCAATTCTTCATACCAAGTAAGTAAATATCGGAACATCAAATAACCTTTTTCCTCGTTGCATTTCTTTGTCAATTTACATGAAACAACAATAGTATGTGTTCTTTGCAATACAGAAAGCGGCAATAGAGTGTGCAAAAGGGAAGATCAAAGAAGCCGTCTTGGAAAAACTCGATCTTTTCCACATGCGTTCCGACCTTAGTACTTTCAAAGTTGCAGATTTCGGTTGTTCTGTTGGATCTAACACTATTGATACTATCCAAAATATCATAGAAACGGTGAAATTAAAGTACCAACAACGAAATATTAAAATACCTCAAAATCATCTTGAATTCCATGTTTTCTTTAACGATAAACTTAATAACGATTTCAATAGTCTCTTTAAAAACGTATCTCGTTCCATTTATAAACATTGTTTTATAGTCGGAGTACCTGGCTCCTTCTACGATCGAGTACTTCCAAGAAACACTATCAACATCGGTCACACTTCCTACGCACTTCATTGGTTGTCCAAAGTTCCACAAGATGTATGCAACAAAAAATCTTCTGCTTGGAACAAAGACAGTATTGTGTGTTCTGATTTGGTGGAAGAAGTGTCCAATGCTTACAAAGTTCAATTCAAGAAGGATATGGGGGATTTTCTTGGAGCTAGAGAGGAAGAGCTAGTGCCCGGAGGCTTATTGATCATGTCGGGAATGTATTTACCCAACAGTGTTCCAATGGCTCATACATGGAAGGGTGTTGCCATTGATATGATAGGAGATTGTCTTGTTGATATGGCGAATTCGGTAAGATATCTCACAAATTATGAGATATTGCTTGATTGATTCAATACAAAATTGAGCTCCACGCAAAAAGATGATCTAACATCCTTTGTTTTCGTTTCTTCGATGTAGGGGATATTAAGCAAAGAAAAGGTTGAATTGTTCAGTTTGCCCTTATACTTCCCGCATATGAGTGAATTGGAAGTGGTAAAGCAAAATGAGCGTTTTAGCATTGAAGTGTTCGAGAGAGTGATTCATCCTATGGAGGGTTTGCCGTTAACCAATGACTTTATAGCCTCGCTATATCGAGCCGTTTTCCATGGACTCATAGAGGAATACTTCGGAGATGGGGTGGTCGATGAATTATTCGATCGGTATGCTACGAAACTAGCGACATGCTCCATCGATTTCCAATCACGCGACAAGGTTTTGCAATATTTCATTGTACTCAAACACAATGTCCATTGAGATGTGATTTGCTTTTTGGAGAGAATATTAAACAGGGAACAGAAGCTTAGAAGAAGGAACGAAAAGCTTCAGACCAGAGGAAGATGTTGGAAAAGATAATACGCGTTTATTCACTTACCTTACTTAGTATACTATATACAAATATATAGAAGAGTATTACAGCTAAAAAGGAAAAGTAAAGTGTCGTTAGTCTACACATAACTAGGAAAGTGGATGATGGGAATAATGATAAACTAATCTCCTTATTCTCTGGTTTGGATTCTTTATATCAGCATGCGTAACTTGGGCCCCTCAATTCGTCACTTGCTTTATCAAAGGTTTCGGTCTCTTCGGTTCCCTCAACATTCCCCCTCAAGATTGGTCGGCGAATATCGGTAAGGCCAATCTTGGAGAGCATTTTATTGAGCACAAAAGAGCTAGTAGCTTTAGTAAAGATATCAGCAAGTTGATCTTGGCTTCGAGTGTACATGGTTGTGATGACTCCTTGCACAATTTTTTCTCGAATAAAGTGACAGTCAACCTCGATATGTTTTGTTCTCTCATGAAAAACGGAGTTAGCGGCAATATGTAGTGCTGCTTGATTATCACAGTGAAGTGGAATTGGCTTGATTGTCTTGATTCCAAGATCTTCTAAGAGTTGTCGTAACCACACGAGTTCACTGGTTGTATTTGCCATTGCTCGGTATTCTGCTTCCGCACTTGATCTTGATACCACATTCTGCTTTTTGCTTTTCCATGTGACAAGGTTGCCTCCCACAAATGTACAATAGCCTGTCGTAGACTTCCGATCAAGTCTATCACCCGCCCAATCTGCATCACAGTAAGCCGTGATCTCCGTATGTTTGTTACGTCTCATCCATAATCCTTTGTTCGGTGTTCCCTTTAAATACTTGAGTATACGATCCACCATTTGCCAATGTGTAACAGTTGGAGCATGCATCCATTGACTGACCTGATGCACAGCAAAGCTTAAGTCAGGTCGTGTGATTGTAAGATATATAAGCTTACCAACAATGCGACGATATTGTTCAGCATTGTCAAGCAATTCCCCTTCGCGTTGGTCTTTGAAATGCGCTTCGATTGGAGTACGAACAGGTTTGACGCCTAGCTTTCCCGTTTCATGAAGTAGATCAAGAACATATTTCCGTTGTGATAAGAAAAGATCATCGGAATTGCGACAAAATTCGATACCAAGAAAATATTTAAGAAGACCAAGATCCTTAATATCGAAAACATGACGAAGATAAATTTTAGTATGTTCAATGCCAATAATGTCACTCCATGTGATAAGAATGTCATCTACGTAAACTAAGAGAACGATTATACCAGCGTTCGTGTGATGAGTGAAAAGCGAATGATCGGAGTGACTACGAGTGAACCCCTTTGTTATGAGCGCATCATGAAGCTTGGTGTACCAAGCACGTGGAGATTGCTTGAGGCCATATATCGATTTTTTTAGGCGACAAACTTGAGCAGGACTCGTTATTTTCGTGTATCCCGGTGGAAGCTTCATAAAAATTTCTTCTTCAAGATCCCCTTGGAGAAAAACATTTTTCACATCCATCTGCCAAATGGACCAAGCAAAATTAGCAGCAATAGAAATCACAACACGAACAGTAGAAAGTTTAGTAACGGGAGCAAAAGTGTCGGTATAATCTTCCCCATAAGTTTGGGTGAATCCCTTAGCAACCAACCGAGCCTTATGACGCTCAATAGTACCATTGCTATTATACTTAATCTTGAATACCCATTTGCAACCAAGTGCTCTTCGATTAGGGGGGAGGTCAGTAATTTCCCATGTCTCATTACGCTCAAGGGCTGCAATTTCGTCGTGCATGGCTTTCTGCCATACAATGATATTTCGAGCATGCTCATAAGTTTGAGGTTCAAAACTCTGCTCGAGAATACTAGAAAAACACTTATCAGTAGAGGAATAATCATCTAAGTGCGAAAATATAGCAATAGGGTGAGAAACAACAACATTGGAGTGTTGTCGTTGACAAACCTCCCACCATTCATTTGGTGTATGTCGGGCAGATGAGATGTCACGAGAGAGAGGGGCATAGACAGATGACACATCTGAGGGCAACACGTGTGCAACCTGAGCCGTAGCCTCTCGGATTTTCCATGTAGGTTGCTGAAGCCGAGAGCTACGTCGGAGTGATAGAGGCTCGCCAGAAAATCCCTCAGGGTGTAAGTCGGAGGATTGTTCAGGTGGAGAATCAACATCCGAGATGTTTTCCAAGTTTGGAGGGTGAAGAGTTGTTGCTTCCCCCTGGTTATCATACTCATCTGGTGAGACAAGGGTTGATGCTTCTCCCTGATTGCCATGGTCGTGTTGGGTTGGAAGCAAAGAATTCTTGTTTTGAATTGAGTGTTCTGAATCATCTGATGGTTGAGAACATGTTCTTTGGAAGGATATTAGTAATTCATCCAAAGTCGAAGAAGGGTTTAGACTTTGTTCGACTATATTTTCCAACCCTGTCCCATCCTTGTCTTTAAAGAAACTCATATGTTCAATAAAGATAACATCTCTAGAAGTGTACAAACGCCTCGTAGGCGGATGATAGCAAAGAAAGCCTTTCTGATCGGTAGGGTAACCCACAAAAACACATCGTATGCTCTTTGGTGCAAGTTTGTTGCGCTCCGTATCTGAAACTTTGACATAACACACACAACCAAAAATTTTCAAGTGATCGATGGAGCTCTTTTTATCAAAAAGTACCTCATATGGAGACTTATCCCGGAGGATTTGTGTAGGCAATCGGTTAATAAGATAACATGCAAGCTTAACGGCATCACTCCAATATTGTTTGGGCACATTTCGATAAAAAAGCAACGTTCGAGCAACCTCCATAAGATGTCGATTCTTGCGCTCAGCAACGCCATTTTGTTGAGGTGTATGAGAACATGATCGTTGATGTGTCATACCATTTCGTGAGAGGAATTCCTGAAATTGCCCGCCCATGTATTCACCACCGTTATCTGTTCTCAAACACTTGATATGAATACCAAATTGAGTAAACACATAAGCATGAAACTTTTTAAATGCATCAAAGACTTCATTCTTTTGTTTGAGAAGAGTAATCCACGTATGTTTAGAATGTTCATCAATAAAAGTAACAAAATATTTGTATCCATCACGTGAAAAAGAAGGTGCGGTCCAAACATCAGAATGCACCAAGTCAAAAATATTCTCATAAACTGTAGAGGAAATAGGAAATACTGAACGACAATGTTTGCCAAGAATACAAGCTTCGCAAACCAAATTGTCAGTCTTAGCATCTGGAACTAAAAGGCGTAAAACTTTGGGATACGGATGGCCAAGGCGAGCGTGCCAAAGAGTATGAAATGCAGAATGCGAAACGAGTGATGAGACTTCAACATAGTAAAGATTGTCTTTCTTGATTCCTTTCCCGAAAATGGTGGCAGTCTTAATATCCTGAAAAACGACTCCGTTAGCATCAAAGATAACCTTACAGTTCGTTTCTTGTATTAATTTTGGTATAGACAGAAGGTTATTTTTAAATCCAGGAACAAAAAGAGCCGTCAGATTTTTACCAAAGAGAGAGATTGTGCCCTCTCCCTGTATAACACAAGGCTTACCATCGGCGACGGAAACTATACCATATGTAGGGCGTATGTCAAGAAATAAACGGCGATCATGAAACATATGGTTTGTTGCCCCCGAGTCAACAACAATTTGAGGATTAGAAATAGAACTAGACGAAACAGATAAGTTACCAGTTTCGCGGTTTTTCATGCCGAGTAAGAGTTGTTTGAAGCCGGATATCTCATCGTCTGTAAAGACCACTGTGTTACTCGTGCTTAGTGCTGCTTCACGTTTAAGGGGGTATCCTTGTAGCGTGAGGGCTTCAAGTGCGGATGCAGAATCCAACAACGATCGGCTGTGTGACCCGATCGTTTGCAGTGGTTACACAACGGGCTTTCTATCTCGAACATGCTTGGAGGAAGAAGAAGTCTTGCCGGTATGGAAAACAGATTCATCAAACTTCCGAGAGTAATGGGCGAGTTCACCTGAACCTGCAAACAAGTTACGTCCACCTTCCTCTCTTTTAATCATCATACAAACCTCATCAAACCTGGGAAGTGAAGATTGTCGCAGCAAATGGTAGACTAGGTCATTGTAACTTGCATCCAAAGTCAAGAGGATTGCAAAGACCTTGTCTTCTTCATTACGTTCGGTGAGGACTTTGTGATCGGTGGATGGAGGTCTGATCTCCTCTAACTCATTCCACAAGGCACAAAACTCGCCTTGAACCTTCGTGAATTGTTCGCCATTTTGTTGGAGCTGAAAAATCTTTTTCTTTATCTCAAATATACGACTAATATTAGAGATATTATCGTATGTATTTTTCAAGGCATCCCACAATGATTTGGCCGAGTCAAGAGCAATGAACGATTGGAGAACATTCTTCTCCAGAGATCCTTGGAGAATGACCAAGGCCAACTGATCGTCTTGGTACCATTTTTCTGCGTCTTTGGCAGATCGTTTCAGTATAGTGGAGGCATCCACTCCTTCTTCTTGTTGTGTTTGCTTGGTTTCAGAATCTCCTCCTTCTGCAGCTCTGTCAGCTGGGGTAGGAGTCTCTTTGTTGAGAACGTGAGTCCATAAACCACGACTGCTAAGCATCACCTTCGCTGCCTTGGACCAATAGAAGTAGTTATCACCATTTAAGGTGATTGGGATTGGTTTCAGATTTACATCCATTGTGAAAAAGATAACTGACGCAGTGTGACACCCGTAACCTCGTATCCCGCTTACAGGTTGTGCCACGTGGACAATAAAATCACAATCGGAAAATTTCGAAATATAAACTCGCGGGAAAGTTAAAACGATCCATTTTAAATATAATACAGCGGAAGACATTATAAAATACATCAATACGTTCGCACACGCTTGGAACGGTACCAGTACATAATACAAGTGGTGTGAAAACTATAACACAAAAAGTTCGAAGATCACCACTCTTTATTTTTGAAAACAGAATGCGTTA